CTCAGATCATTCAAATCGTTCAAATCGCGCTGCTCTAATCGTGCTTGAGGCGCCGCAGAACTTCCCGACGTTGCTTGAAGCATGTCCACCATAGACTTTGCATGTAAACCTGCTGCTCCTGACGCTGAAATCGCGTTCGGTGTGAACGCACCATAAGTCTCTTGAACAGCCTGTTCACATCCTCCTCCCGGACTGAGAGAGCAGATGGGGGATGCGTGTGATCCGAAGTGACTGAACTCAGAGGGGTGGGGGGTTGTGAGTCCATGACTTCAAAGCGTGAATAGAAGTCGTTCAGATCATTAGCAAGTTTAAGATTGTCTGTGGTGTGACTTGCTCTGGTTGGCGATCTCGTTCAGCCCCCTCCATACAGTGGCAGAGTTGTTTGCAGAAAACTGCTGCTCCAGATGTGTATTGTACCTGGATCTAGCCTTTGACACCTCCCTGCTAAATCAATACGGCCGCAATGATGCAACCGTATTGATTTAGCAGGTGTGTATCAGATGTGTATCTGTAGTTGTCTCTGTCTCCCTTTTTGAAGGCAGCCTCCTTCTGCTGATGGAGCTGTCCAAGTTTGGATGTGAACCAGGGTCTGTCATTATTGAAAATGACTCTGGAGCCTGACGGGATGATGCTGTCCTCGCAGTAATGTATATAAGACGTCACAGTGTCCATGTATTCATCTAAACTGGCTTTAGAAGCCCTGAACATGTCCCAGTCTATGGTGTCCAAACATATGCGCAGCTCCTCCACAGCTTCACTGGACCACGTTTTAGATGTCCTCACTATAGGTTTCACAAGCTTTAGTCTTTGTTTGTACACGGGGATCAGGTGAACCATGACGTGATCTGAGTCGGCTGGGCGAGGCACAGCACGATAAGCACCACTCACTGTAGTGTAGCAGTGATCCAACRTGGTACCCTCTCTGRTCGGACATGTAATAAACTGTCTGTATTTAGGTAGTTCATGACTGAGGTTCCCTTTGTTAAAATGTCCGAGGATTATAACTGGAGAGTTTGGGAAAGACAGCTCCACGCTCGTAATCTGGTCCGCAAGTGTTCGCTCAGTGGAATGGAAACAGCGGCCAGAATGAATGAGGAAAACTCACGTGGAGATTGGAACGGTTTGCAGTTAATGAAGAGGTATTCTAGAGTAGGAGAGCAGTGCTGGGAGATTACCGTCATATGGGAGCACCAGGTGTTGTTGATGTAGAAGCAGACTCCTCCACCTTTTGTTTTTCCCCCGGAGAGTTCCCGCTGTCTGTCTGCGCAGAGGAACTGTAATCCTGTGAGTTGGAGCGCAGTCCAGGATCCATGCATTTTGCCATGTCTCTGTGAAGCATAGCACACAGGAGGAGGAGAAGTCACTATTCCTTCTCATTAGCAGCGCTATCTTGTCCATTTTGTTGCAAAGTGAGCGAACATTGGAGAGAAAAATTCCAGGTAGAGGTGTGCGGGTTCCCCATTTGCGGAGGCGAACGAGTGCGCCAGAGCGCTTTCCTCTCCGGCGGCGTCTCACTCTTTTGGCCATAAAGTGCACAAGTTCAGCAGCAGGCGCAAGAAAAACTGGTGTAATATCCAGTGGGGTTGTTGCTCTGATGTTTAGAAGCTCCTCCCGGGTGTAGGAGCATGAAGACACATTAGTAATGCAGAAAAACAAAACTGAAAACACCAAAACACCAGGGCGACTCTTCGTGGTGCCATCTTGTGTCCTAGGTTACTGATAACCACTCTTCTCCCCCGTCCTCCCCCTCCTGTTTCCTGTGGCTGATCGTCTCCTCACYCCCACTCAAGTGAACCTTTTATAACACATCCTCACTGTTGTGCTGTTGAAATGTTTCTTGTCGGGGAGGGGTCTGTGGGTCAGGGTCATGAGGAAGAGGGAAATGGATGGAGATGCGTGAACTTTTATTTAAGATTCAAGTTTTTTTCATTTCAAAGGTCCTTATGGCTCACCAGCAGAAKAATAAATAATACTGTATTGTTAAGAAAGCTAAAGTCGATCTAAAATCTAAGTTTGATTATGAAGTGAAATTAAATATCTGACAGTGATCATTATACAGTGTGGCTTTAATTCCTCACTTCATCYGTGTCGCAGCTTCCCGTCTCCAAAATGAGCATAAGCAAGGGTCAGCTGGCRTGAGGCACCGCACATTTTCACGTCAAGTTTGAGTTTTATAAATCACATCATGTGTTTGTCTCTTTCACAGCTGCTGGAGGACAAGATCGTCACTTTTGTGAAGAAGGAGCTGAAGAAGCTCCAGAAGCTTCTCATTTCAAATCATTCCCAATGCTTAGAGAGTCAAATGGCAGATGAAGATGACTTGGATGGCGAGGAAGATGAGATGATGAGCAACAGAGACGCATTTATGAAGATCACACTACATTTYCTGAGGAAGATGAAGCAGGAGGAGGAGGAGCGTCTGCAGAGCAGTAAGAAGATACTCTTAACATTTACCTTCTGTACAGAAGGAGATGGGATTCTTTCACCCCCTGCTGACTTTAAACCTTTGCACATTTAAAAAAGAAATGAATTTTTGACTTTTCTAACTTCTATGGTGCTTTAATTTAATGGAGACAGAACATCAACCAAAAATCCAGAATACATCAGTTACAAAGTGACTAAAACAGACAGACAGTGGGAACAGCTGATCAACATGTGAGGTAAATGTTTGCTATGTCAGACCTGATTCGAAAAATGTGTTTCCATCTCCTTTTTGTGCATTAACTCTTTTTTTCGAAAAATCCAAAAACCACCTCAAGCGAGTGTATCAACTTTGATGCGAATTAGGAGTTTTTTCGAATCAAGCCGTTTCCATCCATCTTTTCTGATGCGATACTTCAAAATGCGTATTAAAAACCTTGATGGAAACACGGMTAATGACGAGCTGATCGTGGATCATGCAGCTGCTGCGCTGCGCCGCTCTCTGCCTTTTTTTCCTCCTCCCGCTGTATGTTCTACACACAGGTTCTTGTTTACCTGTTTCTGTACAGCGGGCTGGGGTGTGTGTGTGTGTGTGTGCGTGCGTGCGAGCGAGCGAGCAGCGCAGCAGTCAGCTCTCCCCACCCGAGGCTGAAGGAGAGTCAACAGACCAGACGATCATGCTATGCTAACAGCTCCAACCCCTGACTGCTGCAGGGGCGTGTCTTAGAGAGAGGCTTTTATACCAGAACACAGCCGCTGTGACGAAACCGTGGAGAAGACTCGTCGCCGTGGAGAGCCATTGACCAATCTGCAAATTAGCCTGCAGTACCACTGCTCTGCCCATATGAGCAGCAAAGACGTTTTCAGACCAAATATTACAGATTTGAACAAATACACACAAAAACATCAAAATTAGCACAGAAACAGTACTATACAACAATTTAGACACATTCTAGACAGTTTATCAGCTAAAAAAGTTAATTTTGGGGTAAGTTACTCTTTAAGCGTTTTAATGATTTGGCCGATTAATTGAAAAAAATCGATAGAGATGCAAGTTATCGATTAATGAATTAATCTAAAGTTGATTGATTTTATCGATCGACTAACGATTGATAAGCGGCCATTTTCCTAAAAACATGACATTTGTCTTGAATCAAAGGTCTTTTTGTGACATACAGTAAAGGGCATTYTTTTACACACCACATTACAAAAAGAACAGTATTATATTTATAAAATGTATAGTGCCAGCTGTATTAAACACTGACTGAATAAACAGAAAATTTTGGATTTCTCACACATTACTAAACTTGGACATACTTACAAAATATAACAAAAGAGGCATCTATTAGCTTTCTAATTGGAAAAAAAGGAAAGAAAAAAGTAAATCACTTGATCTACCCTGAACAGAGAAATGTAAAACTAACATTTAAATACAGGGTAACATTTTAATCTAAAGATTTACTCAAAAACAAACTATAACCATGACCTGAGAGGGGTGAACATACAAATGAGAACTGGGACTGTTTGTTTTCATTCCCTGTGGTTCATGCTGCTGCATGATGTAGAGATAACCCTCGTTAAAATCCTGAATATGATTTTAATTAAGAGTATCCCTCCTGGTTCGAGGATGGTATCTGTTAAACAAAACAATTCAATCACCACAATTCACACAGAAAACACACAAAGTCGTTCCGTTTATTTTGGCCAGTTAAAACTAACTGACTTTTAGTTTTAACTCCATCAGTGTCAAAAAAAWTTTCTGACCCATTTTTCATTTTAATCAGCTGATTTTCTCTTAAATRTTGACTTTGTCACTATTGTATTCCTTCTCGTATCGACAAGGTTTGTCCAGCAGATTGTCATGCAAGAACAGTTGAATCCCAACCTGATGTTGCGGCTACTTCCTGGTTTAGAGAATTGGCCACTTAGAAGCTTAGAATATTCACTCTCTGCTACAGTTCTCCTTTAATGTGCTGTTCATGTGTTTCAGTGGTTCCTGAAAGGGCTCAAGAGTTGCGGCTGATTAAGGAAGAAGCTCCTGAAGAACAGAAGCCTTATATGGGCCAGCAGGACCAAGGACACATCCACATAAAAGAGGAACAGGAGGAACTTTGGACCAGTATGGGAGCAGAGCAGTTCTGCTTGGAAGTTTAGAATATTCACTCTCTGCTACAGTTCTCCTTTAATGTGCTGTTCATGTGTTTCAGTGGTTCCTCAAAGGGCTCAAGAGTTGCGGCTGATTAAGGAAGAAGCTCCTGAAGAACAGAAGCCTTATRTGGGCCAGCAGGACCAAGGACACATCCACATAAAAGAGGAASAGGAGGAACTTTGGACCAGTATGGGAGCAGAGCAGTTCATTGTGAAGGAGGAGACAGATGGCACCAGCTTTCCAATCACTGCAATCACTTTGAAGGGTGAGAATAAAGAAGAAAAACCTCTGTTCTTACAAATTCATCAACACCAAGTTGAAGACAGAGATCTCCTAAGCAGCAGCTCAGCTGGCATAATGGAATCAGCAAATAGTGGAGAGTCCTGTGGAGGAGCAGGAACTACAAGAAACCCAGATCTGACTACTCATGAAGATCATCCTGACTGTTCAGACACTGAAGTCAGTGATAATGATGATGATGATGATTCTGGCTCTTCAGAAACTGAAGTCAGTGAGAATGATGAAGATGATTCTGACTCTTCAGAAACTGAAGTCAGTGAGAATGGTGAAGATGATTCTGACTTTTCAGAAACTGAAGTCAGTGAGGATGATGAAGAGGAAAATGATGTGAACAATTCTCACTCACAACTGAAAAACATCACACTTAGGGTTCATGATTCAGGTGTAAAAAACAAAAAAAATGATCAGAAGGCATTTTGTTGTGAGCTGTGTGGGCGAAGGTTTAGCCAAAAGACCAGTTTAAAAGCACACATAAGAATCCACGCAGGACCAAAACCATTTGTTTGTGAATTGTGTGATGGAAGATTCACTAAAAGGAGTAGTTTGACCAGACATGTGAAAATCCACACGAGACAGAAACCATTTTGTTGTAATCTGTGTGATCAAAGATTTACCACAAAGAACACGTTAAACACACACATGAGGATCCACACAGGACAGAAACCATTTTCCTGTGATGTTTGTGAACAAAGATTTAACCAAAAATCACATTTAAACACACACATGAGGATCCACACAGGACAGAAACCATTTTTTTGTGAGCTGTGTGATCAGCGATTCACCAAAAAAAGCAGTTTAAACAGACACATGAGTATCCACACAGAGCAGAAACTATTTGGTTGTGAGCTTTGCAATCAAATGTTCACCAAAAGGAGTAGTTTGAACATACACATGAAAATCCACACAAGACAGAAACCATTTTGTTGTGAGTTGTGTGATCAAAGATTTACCATAAAGGACACTTTAAACACACACATGAGAAGCCACATAGTACGGAAGACATATTGTTGTGAGCTGTGTGGGAAAAGATTTACCCGAGACAGCAGTTTGAAAAGACACATGAGTATCCACAAAGAAAATAAAGCAGTCATTTGCAGTGACTCCCAGGTGAGAGACCACACAGGAAAAAAACATCCATATGTTCTTGTACGCACTTCGAATGAACTAAAATTATTATGCTTTTAAACATTTTGGGAAAGCCCAGATGATGATGCCATAGTTTTGGAAACTTTCATTGGTGAGTTGACAACATTGAAGTAATTACAGATACACTTCTGGACGTATTTTAAGGCTCATCTCAGTAACAGTTTCTTTGTATGTCATGTCAAGAAAAACAAAAGAAATCAGCTGAGATATCAGGAAGAAAATTGCTGACCTCCACAACTCTGGTTTATCCTTGGCTGTGTATCAACCATAACGCTTATGGACATAACTTTAAAAAAAAAAGGTGTGTGAGCAAGTCTGCCTACAAACCTGTCAGTAGTACATTTATGGACAAGCATACTCAGTCTAAAGCCAAACAGTTGACTCCTGCTCACAAGGTGGTGGGAGGTTTGTTTATACACTTTTCATATTCTAACAAGATACATGACGCAGGGCTCCTGGTAAACCACTCCCACTACAGTATACGTCACAGTTACACCATTTGGCCACAAATGGAGCACCTCACTTTTCTGCAGACAGAGTCTACCATGCACAATATCTGTACTATCTCTACCCATGGATTATTTCTTGACTACCTTTATTATAAGTACTGTATATCTGGATGAGTCATATAGACAAGTTTAGATAGTACTGTCTCACTGCCTAAGACAACTGCTCTTCAAAACTATCTACAGCACAACATCCGGCTTCTGGACTGAGGGCAGTTAAAGTAAAATGCTGCCCTAGTCATTGTCAGCATAAACAAACACACATTTAAAGTTCTAACCAATCACAATGCTTTTGTATGGTGAGGGGGATAAAAACTTGACCCTGGCCTTGTGCTAAAATAAATTCAGTTTTTGTCACAACTACATCATTAAGAGAAGATGGATCGTGCATAGGCTTTTAGTTGTTCTGTTCAAGTACTGTTATTTGCTCCTTGTTACCAGAGGACATTACTCTTATTGGACAGAATAAGTAAGATTGTGATGTAGTTGTGTGACAAAAGTTGAGTCATTTTGTACTCTTACTGGACAGAATAAGTAAGATTGTGATGTAGTTGTGTGACAAAAGTTGAGTCATTTTGTTCTCAGTTTCATGTCGCATGCCTCTTGTTGGCACAAGGCCCGGGCAAAACCGCTCATTCAGTAATAACAAGCCATGGTTCACAAACAAGCTCAGTCAGTTTTGTCAGGCTAAAGMTGAGGCCTACAGGAGTGGGGACAGAGCACTTTACAAAAAGGCAAGGAACACATTGACCAGGGAAATCAGAGTGGCTAAAAAAGCTATTCTGAAAAGCTGAAAAGCCAGCTCTCAGCCAACGACCCTGGTTCAGTGTGGAGAGGTCTTCAGCACATCACAAACTACAGAAGACCATCCCCCGCTGCCGAGGCTAACAAAGCCCTGACTGACGACCTGAACAGCTTCTATTGTAGGTTTGAGAAGAACTCATTCACACCTCTCCACAACCCCACAGCTCATCAACAAGACAGTGAGGACCCTCTATCTCTCCCTCCCCCCACCACTCAAGCTGCATTCCAGATATGTGAAGATGATGTGAACCATTTGTTCCGGAAACAAAAGATCAAGAAAGCTCCAGGACCGGACGGTGTCTCACTTAAGACGTCTTAAGACGTCTTAAGGAGACGGTGTCTCCTTAAGACCTGCGCTGAACAACTGGTTCCAATCTTCACAAATATATTCAACAGATCACTGGAGCTGTGTGAAGTTCCTTCCTGCTTCAGACGCTCCACCATCATTCCAGTCCAAGAAACTCTCCATCACATGTCTGAATGACTACAGGCCTATCGCCTTAACGTCTGTGGGCATGAAGTCCTTTGAACGGCTGGTCCTGACCCACCTGAAGGACATCACTGGTCATCTGCTAGACCCCCTGCAGTTTGCCTACCAGGCAAATAGGTCAGTGGATGATGCAGTCAACATGGGACTGCATTTCATCCTGCAACATCTTGATCACCCGGGGTCTTATGCAAGAATCTTGTTTCTTGATTTCAGCTCAGCGTTCAACACTGTCGTCCCTGACATTCTTTCCATCAAACTCTCCCAACTCACTGTTTCTCCTGCCATGTGTCAGTGGATCACCAGCTTCCTGACAGGCAGGACACAGCAGGTGCAGCTGGGGAAAATCATGTCCTCCTCACAGACCATCAGCATTGGTGCCCCTTAGGGATGTGTGCTCTCTCCACTGCGCTTCTCTCTTTACACCAATGACTGCACCTCTAATGACCCGACTGTTAAACTCCTGAAGTTCCCAGATGGCACTACAGTCATTGGACTCATTAGTGATGACAACGAGTCTGCATACCGACAGGAGGTGGAACGACTGGTGTCCTGGTGCAGCCGGAACAACCTGGAGCTGAACACACTCAAGACTGTAGAGATGAGAGTGGACTTCAGGAGACACCCCCCTGCAATTCTGCCCCTCACAATTTTCAACAGCCCTGTGTCTACGGGTAGAGTCCTTCAGGTTCCTGGGAACCACCATCTCACATGATCTGAAGTGGGAGCCCAACATCTCCTCCATCCTCAAAAAGGCCCAGCAGAGACTGTACTTCCTACGCCAGCTGAGGAAGTTGGACCTACCTCAGGAGCTGCTGATCCTGTTCTACACTTCATTCATTGAGTCCATCCTGTGCACATCCATAAAAGTCTGGTTTGGTGCAGCCACAAGGCAGAACAGGAACAGGCTGCAGCGAACAGTGAGGACGGCTGAGAAAGTCATCGGGGCCTCACTGCCCTCCATTCAGGACTTGTATCACACAAGAACCAGGAAACGAGCTGAGAAAGTCATCACAGACTCCACTCACCCGGGTCACGTTCCAACTCCTCCCATCTGGCAGAGGCTATACTGTAGAACTCTGTCCACTAAGACTGTCAGATACAAGAACAGTTTTTCCCCCAGGCCATTACCATCATCAACAGCTGATCATCAGACATCCATCAGCTTGGTCATATACTCTATACTATAGAGAACTCTCTATCACTATTATACATTTCTGCATTACGCAAAGTAATCTACCTCTACTCTGCTGCTCTCATTTCTGTATATAGTGTAATTTGTGTGAATTATATGTTAAGTGTCTGTACAGTGTTGATACCAGTGAATCATGAACTGCCCGAAACAAATTCCTTGTGTGTGTCAACATACTTGGCCAATAAACCTGATTCTGATTCTCATTCTCATTCTTAGTTGATGGTTTGGGTTCCTCTGGTGAAGAAGTGGTCAGTTGTTCTTCAATTGTAGCCTGTGGGAACACATTTTCTGGTTTCTCTGTTTGTGATGATGATGAATCCAGATGTTTTTCCAGTTCAGCAGCCTGAAGTAACTCCCCTCTCTGTGGTTCTGAATCTGGTTCTGGTTCAGTCTCCTTATCAGCCACTTGCATGTTGTTTTCCATTGGTGTCTCAGTTTGCTGCTGCTGTTCTTCAGCCTCAGACGTCAGCTGATCACTCTCCTGTTTGTTTCCAGCTGGAACTTGGTTCAGGAAATACTTCATGTTTGAAGCTACCAGCTCCGATTCATGTCAGTTCAAAGTCATTCCATCAGACTTGAACAGATGTTGTCTCTCCCAGATGAGATCAAAGTTATCCACAAATCTCACAGAGTGGTCAGCACAGGACTTTTCCAAAAAGCCATTAAGAGCAAACAGTCTGCTGAACCTCTCAGCCCCTCCTCTGGCTGTAGAGATGTGCCCACTGAGGAACACATCCATGTTGAGACTTTTAACTGCATTCAGCA